CTCACGTATTGCCCAATTGAAAATAATATGTAGTGGCCTAGAGAGAGGAGTCTGTCTCTTATACACATCTAGATGTGTATAAGAGACAGTCTTACTATGTATTGGAGGGATGTGACATGAAATAAAATTACAAGAGTAGCTAAGCTCAGTCAACTAAGCATATCGTAGCAACTGTGTATACCCTGAATAGTATATGATCACAGAAAACCGAAACACTCATATATAGCCCTGACGCCTAGAGAGGGGGAGAGGAACCGGATGGAGAAGGTACAAAACATTTCTTAATTACATCGTTCTGAGAAATAAAATATTTATGAAATTTGAAAAAATGAAATTTTATATGTTTTTTTTTTTCAATTGTGTGGATTATTAACGTAGGCCTACATTTCACTATGTATTGAAGTGATGTGATATGAAATAAAATTTATTAAATTATGAGAGTAGCTAAGCTCAGTCAACTAAGCATGTCATAGCAGCTGTGTGTACCCTGAATAGTATATGTTCACACAACCTTGGTTCACGTTCAATTCCATCCACATTCTCCTTTTGTTTCATGTTGAACGTTTAAGCCGCCAAATAGAGTTTTTTTTTAGATGATACCATGTGAAAAGGTCATGTACTTGTATCTTTCAGTGATACTTGAACTATAGGCCTACGTGATTGAAGATATACAGTTAAAGCAAAAATACCAGTTTTTAAATATTTGATACAAATACATTATATTATATCTCACATCAGTGGTCCAAACACTCTCATGCGGCGGTCCGCAGGGCACCTACCCATACACACAGCATAATGTATCTCTGACACCGATTTTTAGATATTTATTATATCTGCCAATTTTTTATAAGACAAATTATATTCAAATTGTAAGTTATGATTTCCATTTGGGCCATTTTCAGGTGCCATAATCATAAAATTTCATACCTCAGCCTCAATCATGGTGGGGATGAGATGGCCCTCAATCTGTGAAAGTCCAATATTGCCGCCCACCCACCTCCATTGTAAATTCCCGAATCCGCCACTGATATCATATTACTTCGTCGTTAACAACTTTAATGACAAACATGGTTAAACACGAGTGCCATTTGCTATTGACAACAGTTGTAAATAATCTGAAAAATAGCCTACTTAATTATTGACTATGTGTAGGTCACTCGCTTCATTTAACTCAAACCCAGTTATTTCATCCTAGAACATGCCTTTCAATTACATTGTTAAAAAACACATTAAACCTTAACAAAGTTGGCAAATCCATTCTATAATTTCCTCTGGTTTCCCTACTTTAGTTTGAAGAATTATATCATCTATTTTGTGTTTTTTTTTCCACACAAATTTAACATAATTGTACAGCAATACAATAAAAAAAATACAGTTTAGTGTGCGTGTGATGGAAAGGGCGGGGGTGGGGATGTAAGTAGCATTTCATCCTATAACTATAAGTATTGTTAAGAAACACACATTAAACCTTAACAAATTTAATAAGACCAATTTTCACCAAAAAAAAAAATTGTCTCCGTTTTTAACTATAAACTATCAAGATACTATGTATTCTGTTTTTTAATTAAACAAAGCGAATAATATATTGTTTATGAATTTGTATTTCTATACTTCACTACTAATAGGCGTACTTCATAAATATTATACTGCTATACATTATATATAAAGTAAATTCTCAGGTACAGTGTACAGTGGTATATGATAGCAGAAGAGGTGTGGTTTATGTGCATCATGCCACAATGAATTAAATAGCTGGTATACCCAATGTCGTAGCTAGGATTTTTAAACAGTATGGGACAATATCATGGTGGACTCACTTTACGCGTAAATTCAAATAATGTGGACCCATTTTCTTAAATGTTATCCCAGTTTACGCAAAATATGAATAATTTGAACCCATTTTCATAAAAATTTACCAATTTTACGCAAAATAGGTGAAATCTAGACCCATTTTACACAACATATGAGAAATCTTGACCCATTTTCAAAATGAGACCCATTCATTGTGGACCCAATAGAAAAATTGTGTGGGACAGTCCCTACCGTCCCAATAGCTGGCTATCGGCATTGGGTCTTCTATTTAAATTACCAAAGTAACTGCCTCATTAGTAGTTTTTTTGTGATAAGAAAATGGAAACATCATGGTCCAATTTTCCTGGCAAATACTACTACAGTAATTGGATTACAGCATAGTTGCTCTCCTTTCTATTTTATTATTACCCCTTCTGTAATTATTGTGTTTTTGTTCGGGCTTAAAACTTTCACACACAAACTGCTATGAATATTAAATATTGTATGAATATCCGGTTTTTAATGGTATCGCTCATGAACAGCCACAGCACATATCACGACAACCATTTAAAATAAAAGTAATACTACGTCAATAGTATGTATTTTTTACATATATGATTGTCTAAATTGTAACTTTATAGAAACTAAACTATTATTATATAAATCATTATAAAAATAGCGTCTCTTGATTTGTAAGACTTTTTACAATCAAAGAATATTGTCCTATAAATGTACATATATATGTATATGCATATGTATACATATGTTTTTTCATTTTATTTTATTCAATATCAAAATCGCAGTCGAGGACTTAATTAAATGATACTTACAATAATACACAACAGTAATATAAAAACATCAAAGGTAAGTAACATAAAAACATCAAAGGATTAATTGTTAATAAACAATACACAAACAGCACAGACATTCAAAAAAAGATATATGTATATGTATATATATGTATATACACACATATATGTATATATATCATGTCCT